CACCAGATCACCACAACAGCTTCCCTAGTTGGAGTTCTACACACTTATCTGTTCAAATAAGGTCAATAATGAGTGAATGCCTAACAATCTGATGCTTTTTCTTCAGTCTGAGGCAGCTGGTAAGATAGGACAAGTCCTGAAACTTATAATGAAATAAAGGTGAATAAGTATGGAGTTAAGGAGAAAATATCTTCAAGATCTATGCACCCCAAGCCATTAAGGCTGAATCTGAGTTGTAGCAGCATCTTGAATTGTATCCAGAAGACCACAGTGAACTATGCACTAAAGGAAATGGCCTTGAAATTGAGGGGCAGTGGGGGTATGATGAGGACAGTTGCTTAGAGCAGTAAGTCATAACTATAAAAATTACAGTATGGTTGGATTACTGGCAATAAAACAGCGCACACAACATGCCAGTTATATTTTATCCAATTTGCAGCATATCATGATTGTGCAAGCCAGATCTTGATCTTAACAGCTGAGAAAGCAAATAATGCCACCACCCTTTTTGTTATCCACAGAACCTTGCCACTCAACAGCAATGTGTGTGTTGCCTTTTTGAGGAATAGCCCAATTAGAGACTGCAGATTGAATCTCCTCAACTTCTAATAAAATTTAGAAGGCATGAGAATATACAGTGTGAATGTCAAGCATTATCCTAAACCCAAAGCTCAGAAAGGTTATTTATTTGGAATACAACTCTGAAAATCCCCCAGCTGGCAGGGGCGGAGGAATTGTGGAAGCTGTAGTCCACTTGACTAAAGTTCTCTAGCTCTGTGTGAGGTGGCCTGCCTTTTAAAGGAGGCTGTACTCAGGATTCACCCATCATTTGAAGTACTAGGAACAGGGACAGAATTACTTGGACAGGGTTGGGCTTTGGAGCTCCTTTACAAGTGATCTTTTACAAGCGGCTGGTCAATCCTCCCATCCCAAGTTGGGTTTTGGTCTTTTTGTTCGTTTCTTTTGTGTTTTGTTGTGCTTCTTGTTTTGTTGTTGTTTTGTTATCTTGGCTGTGTCATTCCAGATAGTTATTTGGGACCCTCTCAGTCTGAAGAGTATTTGTACTTCCCTCTTCCTTTTAACATGGGTTTCCTCCATTTCGTGCATTGTTTATTATCACTCATTATCACTTAACCCAATGAGTTCTTTCCTGCATTTTTGTTTTCAAGTTACCTATTGGTCTTACATGTGTGTGATTTTTTTAAGCTTCTTTGTGAATATTTGGGCTCTGAAAGCCAGGATATAGATGCTCTAATAATAAATAGACAATCTAAATTAGCATTCACCCATCTTACTTTCCCACAGATGGTTTACACTATAACTCTCATAATCCTTGTAACATTGGTCACACTGGCTCAGACTGATCGGAAAGGTATTCCATTTGAACATTTGGAAAGCACCAGGTTGGGGTAGCTTGTCCAGATGCATAGAGCAATTTAGTAGAGTGCTTTAAAAAAAATGAGGGAGCGTTCTTTCTTGAAACAAGGTGATGACATTCCAGATGTCCAACCATCTGCTTGAGAACTATATCCAACAAATAGAAACACAAGGGGTAGAAGCCCAACTTTCCATCTCTGGAAACATCCTGTATGCTGGATGCAAAAAGTCAGCTTTGTTTGATGCCAGCACCCACCAGTGTCTGATGGTGATGTGATGTATCATATAAACACATCTGAACCCCACCAAAAAACTTTATGGGAAAAAGGAAGTGTCAGATATCCTACAAACAATATTATGAATTCACTTAGTTCCTAATTATGTTGTAGTGGGTCAGTGTTAGCACAGCACTATATCCAAAATAGAGTCCCTGAATTCTCAGGTTGAACTGGGAATGTGAAAAGTGCAGCCCACCAGATGTTGAACTCCAGCTCCTGGCATTCCTCACACCGTTGGCCATGCTGACTAGGGCTGTCAGGAGCTGCAGTCCAGTAGCATTCAAAGGGTTGTATGTTTGCCCACTGACAAACCACATAGATAGTGGAAGCCACCCACTTTCCATCATAAAGCAGCCTTCTCAAACCTAGGTGCTCTTTAGATGTGTCTGACCACAATGGTTTCAGCATAAGGGGGTAGTGCAGCCTAGGGCAGGAGGAGGGGTTGGCTCTTGGACTTTCTGAGGTTGCCCTTGTCAGAATGGCTTCCCCCTAAAGAGACAGCGTCTTGGGCGAGGAGTCACTGTAGGCGCAAGTAACCACCACTTTTCTTACCATAGGCAGGTCCTTTCTTACCATAGGCAGGTCCTTTATGAGCCTCGTGGCGCAGTGATTAAACTGCTGTACTGCAGCTAAAACTCTGCGCACGACCCAGGGTTCAGTCCCAGGTAGCCGGCTCACGGTTGACTCAGCCTTCCATCCTTCCGAGGTTAGGAAAATGAGTACTCAGCTCGGTGGGGGGGGGGGGCAATGTGTAGCCTGCATAATTAACTTGTAAACCGCCCAGAGAGTGCTTGAAGTGCTATGGAGCGGTATATAAGCAGCACACTTTGCTTTGCTATTTGCTTTAACCTCAGAAGTGTGTAGCCCTTGCCCTATGGACAAGCTTGACCTGAAAATAGAGCCTCTTGCCTGCTTACAAGGCAATAAACCATTGACTGTATGCTTCCTTAGACAGCACAACAGACTGGCTAGGTTGGACCTCTCAGTTATAGTCGCCATTAATGACCTTTCCAATCTCCACTGGATTTAGGTGCAGTCCTGCTATTCAAGAGACAAGCCCTTTGTTGAAGAATAATTGTTTTAATAAGAAAATAAAGTAGTTCCATTAAAATACAGTTGTAGCTTAAAAAGCCTAAAGCATGATCATATCCAAACAGTTACTATGATTCAAATAAGCTTACTGTTCCTAGATTAAAATAATAACTACTAAAACTATTCTAAGTAATCATCTTTGCAAAAATTCTACATCTTAGCATTCTAGAGAAGCTGGGCAAATCTCTCCCCCTCTCTTCAAAAAGACAAACCCCTCTCTCCAACATTCACCATGTGACATACATGAAACAACAATTTTTCTACACATTTCTGGACCACCTTCTTTCTGACACTTCTAAGATGTCAAGCAATTAGGATTACGAGGGCGTAACACAGTTCACTGCCAATATTTCACATGAGATCCTGCAGGTGGCTTATCTCTTCCCAATTAGGAGGAATGTGGGGTTTGGTCTTCCTCTTGATCTTCTCAAACCTTGCTCCTTATCTTGCTGCCAGGCAGAGCAAACTTGTAACAGCAATCCCATGAGACTTTCAATGGCTTAAATCCAAACTACACAGAAAGCTTAACAGACTCCATCTTCCTATGACTACGAGTCCCATTTGCCTTCTAATTCCTTACAGCCCTCGCCTGTTTTCTGGAATCACTTTGAAGCTCTTTGGGTGTCCTAGCCATTCTATTCTTTGTCAAAAGGCTAGCCATAGGAGGACAAGTCAGAAAGAGATCCTTTTGAAGTATGAAAGCTGTAAGCTTGGGGAGCATTATCAGTGTATTATAAAACCCTATGGAACAGTCCATTGAGCATTGTACCGTTGCAGAATGCGTGGAGAGAGCTGTATAATATTTAGCTAAACTTTGTAACAGTTCTTTAGGAAGTTAAGCATGTCATAGGGAAGTGTTCTCTTCTACAGCTCTTTTT